CCCTGTGAGGCGCGTTGGGCGGAGAGAGAGTGACTGGCCCAAAGTCACCCAGCTGGCTTCCATGCCTAAGGTGGGACTAGAACTCACAGTCTCCTGCTTTCTAGCCTGGTGCCTTAACTAGACCAAATTGTCTCTTCAAGGGCCTGTCCATGTACAGTACATTGCAATGGTCCCATTGGGAAGTTACTAAGACATGAGTGAAAATGAGAAATGCCTCCTCTTCCAGGAAATGTTGCAACTGGCATACAAAATAGATCCAATAGAAGAGAATATATGTAGCTCAGGGTTGAACTGAGTGAAATGACTTCAAGCAAACAACCAAGCTCAAGAGAGCACCAGGACTCCACACAAAATAGAGAAGTGCAAAAGCCCTGTTTGAGCAGGAACTATGGGTCCAAGCGGATACCCTAATTGTGGACCTGCTCTGTTTGTAGAAGTGCAACCCAACCCTAAACTAATAGTGGAATTAGTAAGCTTTCAAACCTAAAGCCACTCCATCTTGCTTGGATTGAGTCTTAACCTACTCCTCCCCATCCAGAACCAGACGGCCTCCAGGCACCTGGACAGTGCTTCCACAGCATCACTTATTTAGCCAGTGGCAGAGATGTAAAGTTGGATATCATCTGCATGTTGATGAAACCTGACTCCATGCTGATGGATGATCTCACTTAGTGGTTTCATGTAAATGTTAAATAGGAGTAGAGAATGTTGAGTCCTGTGGCACCACACAATTGAGAGATGTAGGGCTCAATCTCTCAATCTCTCCCCTTACCACCACTAATAGGAACCATCCCTTCAGAAGAGTAGAGAACCATACAAGAGAGTGTTCGCCACTCCTAGTTCTTGGAGGTGGCTCAGAAGGATACCATGATCAACAGTAGAGAAAGCTACAGAGATCAAGCAGGGCCAGGAAGGTTGAATTACCTTATCCCTGTCCCACCAGAGATCATCAATAAATGTGATTAATGCCACCTCTGTGCTGAACCTGTACCTGAAACCTGACCAAAACAGGTTCAAATTTCCTCCAGGGCCATCTGTGGTGGCAATCCAACTGCTTTGTCTAAAAACTTTCCCCAAAAGGGGAGGTTGGAAATGGATTAATAGTTGTCCAGTATGCCTGGACTGAGCGATAGTTTCTTGAGAAGGGGAATCATCATCAGCTCTTTCAAAGAAAGGGGTAACACTGCCTCTCAAGGTCATGTTCACCACTGCCCTGTTTCAGCTACCCATCATCTCCCTGGAGGCTTTCACTAACAGGAAAGGTAGTGGTCCAGACTGCAAATGGCTGCAGAGAATCCTTTCTGCTTCCTCAGGATTCACAGGATCAAATTTATCCTAGAAAATATTTCAAGACGAAGCCTCAGCCATCTCCCCTGGACCTGCCTGGTTAGTATCTAACTCCCAATGAATCTAAATGACTTTACACTAGATATTCTTTACAGAAGCCCTTTAGGTATTTCTCTTGTCCATCCCTGCTGGACAGAAATATGAGGATGCAATAAGAGCAGAAAAATATCGACATTTAATTGCTCTTATCAGCATGGTATAAGCCTGAATATGGACTCTTATCAATGCTTGGTCAGAATCACTCCTTATTTTACGTTAGTGGTGCTCTAAGCATCTCCTGGCTTTGTTCCTCCCCTGGAGCTCCTTGGAAAACCATGGGATGCCCTTGGCTTGCAGTCTGGGAGAGGCCATACAGGTACAACTTCCTTGTTCCAACAGTGGTTTAGGTCTTGATAGAACTGCCTCCCCAAGCATCTTCTGGAAACTGAGCCATTCCATCAGATGTCTGCATGCCTTGCCCTGTGAACCCATCCTCGCTAATAAAGACTCACATCCAGTTATCTGCCAGAAAGTATCTCTTGATACCAGCAGAATCTCCCGAATGACATTTGCCACCTGACCTCTCCTCTCCTGAGGTTGCAGCTGATGTAAAACCTGAAACTCAGTTGAGCACACCTGGAAGAGGGGAATACCCATCCCCTGGCTCTATTCAGGTTTTGGTAATACAAGCCAGGCCTACCGTGCCGAGGCAAGTATCAGGTTTAACCCAGGGAACTCCAGGAGACCATGCAGATTAAATCCAGCAAGGTTTATTAGCTATAACCTCTATCAAGAATCTTTCCAGACTGGAACTAGTTCCCAGGGTCAGTCAGTAAACACAGCCTGCATTCTTCAGGGAGGTGTCAGCCTCATCCTCTTATCTCTTCTCTGCGCTTCGGGAGATGAAAGAAGATTCTTTATTCCCCGACTCTGGCCTCCATAATTCCATTTTATCACAGCAAGCTTTATTAAAGGCAGACAAGGCATTCAGCAACACCCTGTCCCTTTAGTCCCATTCCTAGATAGATCAAGGGACCCAAGTGCCATTGTGATTTGTGTTCTTTATATTTATATATTCTTTATATATATATATTCTTATATATTTCTTTATATATTCTCTGGCTCCCTGAAACCCACATATGTTATCTTTTTTCCTGATATAACATGCTATAATTAGAAAAACAAAGGATCAGATTGGCTACTCTGTGAATGAGTGCAAAGAGTAATAGTATATTATTTTATTTATTCATTCATTTATTTATTTATTATTACATTTATATGCCGCCCATCTCCCCCAGGGGGTGACTGTATGTTGACAACACAGGCTTAGCAGAGGCTCCCTGCCTTAAGCTGCTCTGGTTCTTCTTTCCCCTTGTAGTTCCTTCTTCCCTTTGTAGCTGTCATTCTTCATTTTGTTCTGTAGCAGGGCCGGTTCAAAGAATTTGGGGTCCCTCTGCTACACACAGTTTAATATTGCAAATGGATTCTTGGAAAGTGAGAGGGAAGAAGAAAAGACAGAGCTTTAGAGCAAACAGTGCTTTGCATTGACAGAATGATGTGGGATGAGAGCAAAACAGAATGAAACAGCATCACTCATCAGTAAAATCCTGCTTAGAATTACTCTGTTACCCTGATCTACCTGTTGGCTGATTATGGAGCAATGGTGAAAGTGCCTGCCCAAATCCCGTTGGTCCAAGGCAAACACAAGGTGCTCTCTTGGGGCTGGAGCAGTGAAGACAGACAGACATGATCTTTGCATTTTGTGCCCTCTAATCACTCACCTGCTGCCATGCTTAGGGTCCCCCCACTTTTCTGAAGCCCAAAGTAGCTTCATCTGATGCTACCCCTTAAACCAGCCCTGCCTTACTTTTCATAAAACAATTTTTGCAAGGAGGAATCATGAAGGTCCTATCTCTGTCGTGTCCTCCAGCAGGGTTAGGATGCCAGTAAACACCATTCTGGGCTCCTTGTACTCCCAGTCTAAAGTCTGAAAAAAATGTACATGGAAATTCTATGTAAGAAGTGATAACTAATAATAAGGTCACCTAGATAGGTTTATCAGAAACATTCCAACTTCATGCTGTAATTTACACTGTGTTTGCCTTTCTTTGTCTTGTCTTTGTAAGGTAGTAGGCCAAAGTTATATAAGCTCAGGGCTGCTCAGCTAGCTGCCAGGCAACTGTAGTTGTTTGCATGCTTAATAAATTTATGATGTATCTTCAAAGTGATTTGGCTGATTTTTGGTCACAACACATGGAACCCAGTTTGAAAAATCCTGCTGTAATGATCCAAACGATTTAAAACATTTTTATACCTTGGAGTTGGAATATGTTGTATGTGTGTGATTAGAAGAGATGGCTTTGGCTTTGAAGCCAAAGCTTGAAATGGGTTGATGTTGTTATTTCATTTATGTCCCATCTTTTCTTCAGGAACTCAAGGGGTATACAAAGCACACCTTCCTCCTATTTTATTCCCACAACAATAACTCCAGGATGACTCCTACCAGATAGGATTCCAGAAGCCTTTAAAAACCTGACTTTTTTCCCAGGTCACTGAACCCTTTTGGGGTGTGTTTATGTAGTTTGTCTTGTCCAGACATAGATGATTTCTTCTATTCATTATTGCTTTTACTCTTAAAATTTAAGCCATCCAGAGTTGCTCCAGAGTTGGGCAGCCAAATTTAAAAGATGATGATGACGACGATGATGATGATGATCATCATCATCATCATCCTTGTGCATTGGGCTGAGAGATAATATCTGACTACAAGTTACCTGGTGAATGTCTTGGTTGAGGGTAAACCTGAATCTGGGTTTCCCCGATTCTAGTCCAACATCTTAATCATGGCACCACTGTGGCTTTCATCATAATACTTTTAGTCCTGTTGTTTGATTGTGGTTTTTTATTTAATTACATCAACTATTTGGCAGTTCTTTTCCAAATTACAGATCTAGGAGGGGACAGAAAACCTTTAAAACGAAGATAGGCAGATAACCTCTTGTTATTAATAGGAATATTAATCCCTATAATTAATATTAATAAGAAATAGTCATTATGTTACTAATATTGCATTGGTGGGCATGGCATGAATGGCACCACTTACAAGTGTTCTTGGGAGTGTTCCAAATTCTATTGGATAGTCCACTGTGATTTCTCAATTTTGAAATAGCTGATGCAACAAGTATGAATGATAATGGCCACCATAGTTTAAGAAAAGAGTACTTAGCAGGGAATGTATTAAAAACAGAACTCTGAGGCAAATTATATATAGTTACAAAAGCAGAAGAGGGTGAAGAGTTATTGTTATCACCCATTAGCTCTTTTAGATTTTCAAGGTTTACTCACAAAATGTTTTAATCACTGCAACTTAAATGTGGTGTCTCAAATGCTTCCCAAATGCATTATATAGTAGGTAAATGGAACTGAAAATAATAATATTTTTTCCAGTTATTTATTTAAAATAGTTTTCCTATTTCCTTGCTTAAAAATGCACTCAGCATAGGATATATTTTATAGCAGCCTTCCTTAGCTCGACATCTTTAGACATCTTGCCCTACAAATCCTATCACCACAAGCCAGAAGGCCAATTTCTTCTCATATGTTTGGAGAGTATCGTGTTAATGAAGCCTTCTGTATAATAAAGTCCTAAACACATGGATTTTAATGTAAATGTTAATGTAAATTACTAAATTACTATGTTCTATCCAATGTTATGTGAAAGAATTGCCGCTTGTACAATGACACATTCCTTTCTCTCTTTCTTGCTGCAGCCCCATGTCTATACACACTCAGATATGCTTTGTAGATCCCCAGTGCTCTAGAGCAGATTTGAAATAAGCATGTGAAAAAGAGAGGAATCAACTCTACCAGGCAGAGATAATTGGGTAAAATTCTGTATTCAAATCCTGTAAATCAGAGTCAGCTCAGGAGCAACCACATGCAGGAATATTAGACTATACCTATTAGTAGACTTCTAAAACGGTGCTGGGTCTAGAATGGAAGCCCCTGGATAACGAATTACATCACTAACCTTTGTCTGTGCTGGCTGGAGTGGTGAGCAGCATACAAGTTCTTCACCTCATCCCGATCCTGTAGGGTTAAAACCTCAGTACTCATATCGAACAACAGATTAGAAGTCGACTACTTCCTGCTTTTACTTCCCTTATTTTATCAGAGTGATGTGTGAAACAAGCCACAAATCTCTCTCTGGGTTAATCAGAAGTAAAGTTTTATTGGAAGCGTTTGCAAAGGCTGGTGGAACTCAAAAGCTGCAAGCTGGAGTCCACACTGAAA